ACGTTGCCAGGCAACGCAGCGGTTGCTGTTGATGTCTGTACAGTGTGCTAGTTTATATTTATGAATGAGTGTGTTGTTGTACTCACCTCTGAACGTCATTCTGTGAGTCTGGTGTACCGCTAAGTTCAACTCGGTCTGCTCCAGGTAAATAAAACCAGTCCACTCAGCTTCTTTAGTCCCAGTATAACGTTAAACATGCCTCTCTGTCCCAGTATAACCAGTCCACTCAGACTCTCACACACCTCACTGGAGGTAAAAGTTCCTGAGCCAATACCGAAATCGCCGCTTCAGAGTTCACCTGGACCACATTAGCATTTAGCTAACATTTTAGCTATAACCAGCATGCACCTGTTGATTACGCATTAACGTAGGTGCGTTTGATTTGGGCAACTTAACGTGCCCGCCGGTTGGTGCGTTAAATCAGTGATTAACGTAATGCCAATATTATTTATTCACCATAATAGAAAGACTACAAGGCTACATCCACAGTAGCTGTATCGTTAGCTAGCTGTACTTCAACACACCGTGTTGCTTTTAGCTAAATGCTAACGTTAGCATGCTAAGCTAGCTGTGTGTGTCTGTATTTTATAGTCTATGGTCTGTACTTGTACAGTGTCGCTTTAAGCTAAATGCTAACGTTAGCATGCTAAAATGCTAGCATGCTAATGTTTAGCAGATCTATTATTTACCATATTTACCAACTTAATTTAGCATTTTAGCTAATAGTTACTAACAAATGCTAATTAGCGCTTACCAAGTTCAACTACGGCCAGTGGTGGAGGAAGTATTCAGATATATTACTTTAGTTTAGGTACTAATACTGCACTGTAAAATATACTCCACTACAAGTAATATACTCCACTACAAGTAAAAGTCCTGCATTTAAAACTTTTTAAAAAAAGTTATAGTTTAGTATGTAGGTTCAGTATTATCAGCAAATTTTACTTAAATTCTCATAATAAAACATAATAAATTATATTTCACTGAAATGGTGTGTTTTCTGTGTCACCTTCGATATCTGAAAAAGATTAAATGTCTACATCCATGGTAGCTTTAGCATTAGCTAGCTCCTGAGGCTGTAAATGTGTAAATATGTTGATTTTAGTAATGTAAAGAAATAATAGCCCAGGCTATTAACTGAAGTTTTACGGTAGCTACATTTTTATATATATTGTAGCTATTTAGTTATTTTGAGAGATTAAAACAGTCTTGAAACGTTAAAAACAGTATTTATATTATTTTTATTATCATTTTAATGGTCAGTGGCAAAAATAATTAGACATTCCTACTGATAAACTGCTAAAAAATATTGTTTGGCTTTAAAAATAGCCAAGTGTTCACTTAGTTATGTTTTCTGCTTATCTGAATTAAATGTTTAAATAGTCTCTACTCTTTCTACTGCCCAATGTTTTTGTACAGTAACGATAGCGTTTTAGCCAAATTTTATGCCAAATAACCCCATTGATGGGACTTGTTGGCACAAATGCACAACATGACTTTAATAACAAATTATCAAATTTTAGACAACAAATTTTGTACATTAAAACATATTTATTAAGAGCTGAGACCTTGGACTTTCATTTGCTGCTAATTAAAATATTCTAACACAAATAATGCCAGATAAAATAAAGTAGAGAGTGAAAAGTGTGCCAGCCAACCTGGCCTAAAATAAAAATACTCAATTAAAGGTACAGCACTTTAGTAAATGCATACTTAGTTTAATTCCACCACTGATAGAGGCTGATAGGAATGTTGAGTTTCGGGTATTAGGCAAATCTATTTTTTAACCTGATGTAGAATGTATCCTCTATGGACCTTGAGTATTGGTAGCAAATTTCATGTCAGTACATCCAATAGGACGGCTCGAGAAAGTATGACAATGGATGTGAAATACAAACACCATTTGACAAAAAAATCCACACATTGCTTTTTATCATTTCATTCAGTTTTATTACAAACAAAAAAAAATAAAGAAAGAAAAAAAAAAAAGGAGATGCGTCATCATTGACATGTTTCACTGCCACTCATCATTTGATCGGCACCACTACATACACAGTGACACAAGATACCCAGAAATGAACACAAAAATCTGGAGAGAGGACAAAGTAAAAGTGGAAAAAAAAGAACTAAGTGCTTTTAACATTTTAGTTCCGGGGTTGCAAAAACCGTTGTATGAAACATAATTTTTAAAATGGACTGTTTCCTGGGAAGATCAGTGAAAAATGTCTGGGATTTATGAGATAAATTAACTCCTACGGTAGCTATCTTTTTTTCAGTTTTAACTTAAAGCAGACTCTAGGATTTACAGGTTGACATCAGGTTCTTAATTCAGTTTGATGACTTTACATTTGTTCAGCTATGTTTATTAAGGCGTTTTTTAATGATGCGGTATATAAAATGGACTTCCAGCCTTCGATTTTCCAGATAATAACCGTGTATTTTTACTGGGGTTAGATAGTGTACATTATCTTTCTGCTCATAGAAGCATTTAGGGTTACATATGGCCTATTTTCTATATATGTATATGTCATTTGCAAGCCCCAAATCTAAAACGTAAGCAAGAAAAATGAGTTTTTCTTGTAATATATCTACCTCTGAAGTTAGCTCAACTTCTTCGTTTGCGTTCTCTTGCAATTATAGGACAAACATTTCTCGTTACAAAAAAATTGTCTCTTTTGGTAGAAGCTCTTTCTCGAATAGCGACAGCGAGAACAACATCGACGACGACAAATACTCATAATCGCGAGAGTAAAAACACAAGAGAACACGAATGAGCTGTTTAAATATGCAAAGTATATCACAGGATTTTTGTAGAAAGAAATAGAAACTTGGAGAAAAATAAAACAGGAGGAAAGGTTGATTGAGAGAGGGGAAGGGCGTCAAGAGGAGTGATCAGATAGGTTTTAATAACACTGACTTGCTTATGAAAAGGTTATAAACATTCATAGGAGGCTTCTGAAAAATAGCATCGTCGTTTTCGCATTTTCTGGAACAAACCCCCAAAATACCTCGAAGCTCTTTACATAAACTAGAACCAGGGAAGCGGGGCGGCAAATACTTAAATGGATAGTAAAAGATTTTTTGAAGTAGGGTTGTATGAGGTACTGATCCATAGTCAGTGTATTAATGACAGCAGCAGTCTGTCAGCACGTCCCTTGTTTGGTGAATTGGCCTAAGTGCCAAAACAGAAGCTGAGCAATGTAATGCTATGGATGGGGCTCAGCAGCTAAATGTATTTTAATCACCTAAAAAGGTCCCACCAAAAAAACTAGAATTACTGCCCTGCAGTGGTACGCCTCCACAAACACAAAAGTTGCACTTATAGTTTACATCAATGTCTGTAAAAACATGGATGCTTTACACACATCCTCCCCTTGGCAGCATGGAGGAAGTATACCATTAGGACAATGTCAAGGTGAGCACTGAGTGAGCATCTGAGTCTCCCCTTCTGTTCCTGATGCAAGGTCACAGTGACCTTGACCTGTGACCACCAAAATCAAATCAGTTCATCCTGTAGTCCAAGTGAACATTTGTGCCAAATTTGAAGAAATTCCCTCAAGGTGCTCCTGAGATACCATGTTCACGAGAATACAGTGCACACAAGGTCACAGTTACTCTGACCTTTGACCACTAAATCCTAATCAATTCAATTTGACTCCAAGTGAACGTGTGTGCTAAATTTGAAGAAATTCCCTGAAGGTGCTCTTTAGATACTACATTCATGAGAATATGACAGATGCAAGGTCACAGTCACCTTGACCTTTAACCACCACAATCTAATCAGTTCATCGTTGAGTCCAACGAATATTTGTGCCAACTTTGGAAAAATTCCCTCAAGGCATTCTCGAGATATCAATGTTCATGAAATGAGATGTACGCAAGGTCACAGTGAACTTCACCTTTGACCACCAAATTCAGTTCATTCTTGACTCAAAGTGGCTGTTTGTGCCAAATTTGAAGAAATTTCCTTCAGATATTCTTAAGATATTGTGTTCACAAGAATGAGACGATGCAAGGTCACAGTGATCATTGACCTTTGACCACCAGAATCTCATCACTTCATCATTGACACCATGTGGACATTTTCTGACAAATTTAAACAAAGTTGTTCTTGAGATATTGCATTCACGAGAATGAGAGGGAAGCAAGGTCACTTTGACCTTGACCTCTGACCCCCCAAAATCTCATCAGTTCATTGATGAGTGTAAGTATTCCCTACAGATGTTCTTGAGATGTTGCATTCACAACAATGAGACAGTGACCTTAACCTCTGATCACCAAAATCTATCGTAAATCTACGTCATCGTAGAGTCCAAGTGGACATTTGTAACTAATTTGAAGAAATTCCCTCAAGGCGTTCTTGAGATATCGTGGGACAGACGGACAGACCGTCAACCCGAAAACATAATGCCTCTGGCTACAGCTATATATTCCAGAAAAAGTGTACGCTACATTGAGAGTATTGTCACCGCTTTACCTTGCTGTCAGACAGCCCTTTCCAATGGGGAAGCCGTTAATAGCTTTAGGTCCATATCTATGTTCTCGTCAGAGCCACCAGACTCCATTGAGAAAAACAGTAATTTTAGCTCGCTGAACACAGGAGCTGTTGGTCTATCACTGAATCAATCAGGTAGTTAGTTTGCGTTGTTTCGAGACTTTGTAAGTCACACAATAACACACAAACAAAAAAACTGATCAAGGCAGTGGTAGACCAGCAGCTCCTGTGTTCAGCAATGTTAAATTGTTTTTCTCAATGGAGTCTGGCTCTCAAGAAAGCGATGTAAAAGTTTCAGTTCCCCGTTGTAAACTGCTGTCTGACAGGAAGGTGAAGCAGTGAAAATACTCTCAAAACACTATACACTTGAACTGATATTGTTTTAGGAGGGACTTTTTTAGGTGGTTAAAATACATTTTATTGCTGACCCCACCACAGCAGTACATTGCTTAGCTTCTGTGTCGGACTTCAGCCTGCTTCTCCAAACTGGGGGCGTGTCCACTAACATCTACTGTATGTAATACACTGACTATGGATAAGTGCCTCATTCAACCCCACAAATCTGAACTATCCCTTTAATGTGGTCGAACAAGTCCTGAACATAATTATCATATCATATCATCTAGCTGCATTTCTATCCGAGTATGTACCTTTAAACAAAAAAGCAAAAAACAAAAAAAGGATGGAGCTGTGCTTGGAGCTGCTCGGACTGAGTAACCATAGGTTCAGCCTCTCCTGGGAGAATTAGAAACAGTATTAAAACAACTGTAGGCACAGCTTGACACCATTTTTTTTCCTTTCCACGAGACAGCATTATTGTGATTAGAGCATGCTTCAGGGGATGGAGTGCGGCGGTAGAAATTATTTTAGTTTCACATGCAGCTTCCTGTCGAAGGGGAGGAGGAGGAGGAGGAAAGTTACATGGTCTATTGAGAGATCTAAAGGTTTCTAGAATTGAGGTGCGTTGTGTGTGTACGTGTGTGTGTGTGTGTGTGTGTGTTACTTGTGTGTGTAGATGAGGTTAGAAGCATCCCAAGAGGAGGAGGAGGAGGAGGAGGAGGCCTGTGTGAAGAGGCCTGCTTATGAGGAGTATCATGGTTTGAGGCAGACAAGAAAAGGTCACAAGAAGTTATGAGACAATATGGACTGTGTGTGCTGCAGGTGTGTGTGCGTGTGTCCGTGGACAGTAAGTGCACATGTGCGTGTGTTCATGTACTGCATGTGTGTGTGATTGTAGTTTTTCAGGGAGTACCAGTCAGCAAAGTTTTCGTGTGTGAATGAAGCAACTACAATCACTAGCGGGTCAGTAAGTACGCCCGAAAAGTCAGTCAATTCATTTTAATACTGGATGTGTGGTTCATTTTCTTGGAGAGAGATTGGGGATATCTTTGCAGCAGATGGGTTTGAATGTGTGTGTGTGTGTGTGTGTGTGTGTGTGTGTGTGTGTGTGTGTGTGTTTCGGTGTGTATGTGTGTAGTCTAGTCGTCGATACAGATGACCTCTCCGCTGCGCTGCTCCCGCCGGTTGACTAGCAGCTCTGCTTCCCGCTCCTTCTTTACAGACATGGGAGGCCCGTTCAGGACTGCGGGGACAGAGGAGAGTTCAGTCAGTTCAACATGTAACGTGTCTTTGTTCTACATGTTTCCTCTCGCAGACCCAAAACAGAAACTGTTCGTACTCACACAGGGACGCACAAATGCAAATACACAAATTTAGATACTGGTTCAAAACTGTGGTTAAACAACTTTCGGGCATTCCTGACAGGCTCACTCTCAGGCCTCGTCCACACAGACATGGGTACTTTTATAAATTTAGTTTTTTCGTACACACACACTGCGTATTAGGTCACCTTTGTCCACAAAGTCTTTTCAGTGTTGATGCCTTTGTGAGGTGTCACAAATGAGGAAACATTTTGTGCAATGGAGACGCGACCAAAGTACTTACTAGTGTACAGTTAAGCTGGATTTATACTTGTGCGTCAGCTCGATGCAGAGCCTACGCCGTAGCCTACACATGTGGTCTACGCCCTGGAGCATTTATACTTGTGCTTGCGACTGCGGGTGGTGGGGATAACGTTACAGGACTAGAGAAAAACAAAAATGTAATTTAAATCTACTATATAACTTATTTATCTTGAAATGACTTCGTCCAACCACAATGGCAGTTTATTGGCCACATGATTTCATTCAACACATCCTCTCCGTTCAGCCCACTGAGGTGTTACTAAGTGTCATCAGATCCTCCAGCAAGAACAATGCCTTAAGGCCCTGATCACACAGAAAGAGTTTTACAGGTTGCAAAACGCGTGGCGCACAGCACTGCCTTTGTTTTCAACTTAAATGACACTAGTGAAAAAAACGCTTGCTGTGCCTTTTTATTGTTGCCAGACAACCACCCTGTAACGTCCTTAATCTAACCTTCCTGTGTAATCATTCTACCGTTTTCCCCCCCGAGAATCAGTTGCTAGATCCTAAAATGTTGAGGCAGAGGGTACTTGCTGTAGCTCTGGTTGAGGGTGAGAGGCTGTCAGCAAATAGTTTGCTGGTCACAGGGAAACGGAGATCTGTGTGGGTACATGAGACCCTAAAAAAGAGGGTACGTCATGGAGAGTACCACCAGTTGGTCCAGGGGCTTCTCCTACATGATGGCTGGCATATTTTAGGACGACTAGGGGCAGTTTGACAACCTGCTGTCTATCATCGGGCCATATAGCTCTGGGTATCCAGCATCCGCTACCACTAGTTTCTCCTCCATTGTTTACCATCTGTAAACGTGTTGTTGTGACCACCACAGAAGGCCCGCCTCTCAAATCTTCTGATTGGACAATGGGAAAAGAGATGACTAGGGGCGTTATTCCACTCTGAGTTGAAGTTTTGTCAACTCAAGGAGTTCAAAGTGCTCCAGAAAAAACGCCAAGCACTTAAAAGTGAGTTCGCGTTACATGACTGGCCGACCAGTCTTGAGTCGCGGAGACTATCGTAATCTTTTGAGTGTTCATACCTGGTGACGTGTGTTTCTGTCATCGGGAGTCTCGCCAACTGCGTTACAACCTGTGTGTGCACACCACAAGATTGACGACATCACCAAACTACGCTTTGTCACGCGTGAACAAAACAGGATATTAGGAAGTTCCCCGGTGCTACACTTTACTCCCCCCCCCCCCCCCCCCCCCCCCCCCCCCCCCCCCCCCCCCCCCCCCCC